GACCCATTGCATAAATTATTTTTAAATCTAAGCGGGTCCTACTCTCATGTGAGGGGGGGTGTACACCCCGATGTACAATGTGATGTACAAGTAGCAAGACCGTAAAAAAAAAGGGCTCAAACCAATATCACTTCATCTTCTTCACTTCCTCTGCGTTCAGATTGCCCTTGCACTATTTCTCTACTGCTGCCATGTTGTCGGTTCCAAAATACAAAAGTTCCGACGGATCCAGAACGAACGATCGTGCCCCCTCGCCGAGTGCTGGGTACATCCCTATGTGTGTGCGTGTGTGTGAAGGCGAACTGAAGAAGCGGTGGAGTGGGGGATTAGGGGTAGGGTAGGTTCCGATGAGCTCAATGGTTGGCGCCGAGTAAAGAGATTGTATCATAGTAACAAAAATTGTCACACAACAATAAATTCACGTTCAATCGCATATTTAATGAAATTCACAACATTTCACCACATATTTCATCAATTTTTATCAAAAAAAATTTGTAGTTTTTGAGAAAAATTGATGAAATCTATGATAAAAAAATTGTGAATCCCATAAAATATGTGATTAAAATTAGTTGTCGACTTTGATTTTGATAAAAATTTGAATTTTAATTCCCACCAAATAGACCTAATAAAAAAAAGTCAGAGTGTGTTTGCTGAGGATTAAAATTAGTTTTTCAGTGGATTGTGATAGAAGTTTTTGAAATGTATGGTTGAAAACATGTGGGACCCATGAAAGATGTGGTTAATATTAATTGTTTGATTTTGACTTGAATTAAAATTAGATTTTAATCCGGTCCAAATAGTCCCTTAATTTTATTGATGGTTATCAAAGTTCTAATAAGATTTTCAAATTTGATCATTAGAGTATTTTTATAACTTATAAGAGCATCTCTAAAACTCTTTAAACATAAAATACTTCACAGTTTAAAGAGTCAATCATTATAATTATGTTTCAAATGATTCTTTAAATTAACATTTTAATTTTGAAAGTAGATTTTTCTTTTCAAGCTCTCCAATTTGGATAGTAAAACTCGATTTCTATAATTAAATGCATTAAAAATATTTCATTTTTCAATATAGTAAAATAATATAATAATTTTGAGAAATTTAGTGAAATCAAAAATAGGAAAAAAGCAATAAATATTTAAGAGTAATAAATTTAAGTGTTAAATTATAAAGATCACGTTGGAGTACTTAAAAAATTTTACTCTCTGAATTGTAGAATATGTTTTTAAAAATAAAGTCTTTTGAAATGCTCTTAATTGTTAAAGTTAAATAATATTATACAATTGGCCATTCCATAAGCATAAGTCCCTGTTTGAGCCTCATTATTCAATCAATCATTTTTTTCCAAACTCATTTTCAACAACATATTACCCCCAATAAAATAACATGAGGTGACAAAATGTCCATCCATTCCCCACCTCTCGAAAAATTTTGATGGTATGTGAGACTTTCGTATCTAACCCATCTCTTGGTTAATTGTTAATTATACATCTCCAATGGTGTACACCAAATTTGATATAATTTTACACCAAATTTGTGTATGTTGGGTTTTCCTCTCCAATGGTTACACTTTGGTATAAAAAGATCATTGGACACCAATTTAAACTAAATTTTATAACAAATTTTATTTTGAATTATTTTATACTAAAATTTATTTTACAAATTATATTATTACAAAAGTCTTTAATTATATTTAACCATTATTTGGTAAAGATTAAAATCGAATTTTTAGTAGATTTTGACAAAAAAATGATAAAATTTATGGTTGTAAAGTTGTGGGACCCGTGAAATATGTAGTTGAAAATTAATTGTTGACTCTGATTTAAATTAAAATTTTAATTTCTACCAAATAATATTATATATAAATCAAAAACTTTTCCTTCATTTTCAACCAAACAATTCAAAAAAAAAAAAAAAAACACTTCCAAAAATAATAAAATCAAATAATGAGGGTCAAACGAGGGCTAATATTGTAAATTATAAAACTACATTGACTTTTGACTTTTTAACAA